GGGGGACCCGGGGGAGGGGGGGTGCGGGAGCTTTCTGCCCCATTTATCCGAGTGACAGCAAACAGACATTTTCCAAAGGTCACAGGATGGCTCTGCCGGGGGAGGGGGGGCCGGGCTGCACCCCCCGGCACAGCGGGGACCCCCACGGGGACAGGCCAGGGGGGTGTCCCCTGCCCGCCCCCACCTCTGCAAGAGCAGTGAGGAGGAAGAGGAGGGTCTGGGGGTGAAGGCGCGGGGCTGGAGCCGCCGGGGGGGTCCCGGGGGTGAGGAGCCGCGGTGCCCCCCCCCCCAGCAATCAGGGCTCTGCCGCCTGCCCGCGTTTTATGGCCCCGGTTCCGCCGGAGGCGCCATCAGGGCCCCCCGGAGGAAGCCCCTTATCAGCCCTGTTTGCTTTTCCGGACAGGGCGGGGGGACACGGACAGCCCGGGGGGGACACAGATACCTGCCCTGCACGGGCCCCTGAATCAGCTCCCCCAGAGGGACTCCTCTAAAGCATTTCCCCAGAGCAGCTCTTCCCTCCCAATCACTCCCCAAAGCCCCCCTGCAGTGCAGCTCCAGAACCCCAAAAACAGTTTCTGCCCCAAAAGCTGCAGCCCCTCACCCTGGCACCCAAAACCCTGGGGTGAGACATTAAAAATTTCTCAGTGCATCAGTAAAAATACATTTTTTTTTGGGGTGGTGGGGGGAGCAGTGACACCCCTCAGCAGGGAGAGGGGCCCTGGCCACACAGTGGCCGCCACCCCCTAAGCATCCTCCGCCAAAATTATCAAATATTTACAAACACCACCAAAAAAAAAACCCAACAACAAAAAAATCAACAAATAAATAGCGGCGCTCCTTACAAAAACCCTCCCACCCTCTCTCCCCTCATCCGTCGGTGGCCAGGATGACCACGGCCCCGAAGATGCCGACGTTCTGGCCGATGAGCTTCATCTGGTTCCAGAACTCGACGCGGCGCAGCGCGTGCCAGTAGCCCAGGTTGCCGTCGATGAGCAGGATGGCCAGGGGCAGCAGCACGGCCAGCACCTGCGCCGCCGTCCTCACGTAGTAACCCGAGAGAAAGGCCAGGGCCAGCAGCCCGTAGAGCAGGAAGAGCAGCTGCAGGGCCAGCTCCCCGCCCAGCAGGTGGTCCAGGTAGGCCAGGCGGTCCTCGGTGCTGTGCTGCAGGGAGTAGGCCTGCGGGGACAGCGGGGAACGAGGGGACGCTCGTGGAGTGGTGGCACCGGTGCCATGAGAGGTTTGTGTCCCAGGGACAACGGGGATCTGGAGTGTGGTGGCACTGGGAACCCCCACGTGAGAGTTCTACCCCAGGGACAACGGGGATCTGGAGTGTGGTGGCACTGGGAACATCCACGTGAGAGTGTGGTGGCACTGGGAATATCCACATGAGTTCTACCCAGGACGTGAGAGTGTGGTGGCACTGGGACGGGGATTTGGAGTGTGGTGGCACTGGGAACATCCACGTGAGAGTGTGGTGGCACTGGGAATATCCACATGAGTTCTACCCAGGGGTTATGTCCCTGCCCCAGGGACAATGGGGATCTGGAGTGTGGTGGCACTAGGAACATCCATATGAGCTCTACCCAGGGGTTATGGCCCTGTCCCAGGGACAATGGGGATCTGGAGTGTGGTGGCACTAGGAACATCCATATGAGCTCTACCCAGGGGTTATGGGGGATGCAGTGTGGTGGCACTGGTGACAATCCCCCAAGGACATCTGCTGCCCATGGCTTCTCCCCTGGGGACAGTGTGGGGTCGGTGACAGTGTGGGCTTGGTGACACCAGCCTGAGTCCCCCACCAGGGACAACGTGGAGCACTGTGAGCACCGTTCCAAGGCTTCTCCTGCAGGGAACCGTGTCCCCAACCCACAGCACAGGGGTGTCCCCTGCCCCTGCTGTCCCCCAGCTGTCCCCAGCCCGGTACCTGGCAGATGAGGTAGATGCCCAGGAACACCTGGCCCGTGGACTGCAGGGAGCGGCTGCGGGGTTTCTGCCGGTACAGCTCCCCCGCGCCGCTGGCCAGGATCAGGAATCCGCCGATGATGGCGATGGTGCGCGAGTACATCCTCACCTGCGGAGAGGGCACGCTCAGTGCCAGCCCCAGTGCCACCCCGGCTGCCCTCAGTGCCAGCCCCAGTGCCACCCGGGCTGCCCTCAGTGCCAGCCTCAGTGCCAGCCCCAGTGCCACCCAGGCTGCCCTCAGTGCCAGCCTCAGTGCCAGCCCCAGTGCCACCCGGGCTGCCCTCAGTGCCAGCCTCAGTGCCAGCCCCAGTGCCACCCGGGCTGCCCTCAGTGCCAGCCTCAGTGCCAGCCCCAGTGCCACCCGGGCTGCCCTCAGTGCCAGCCCCAGTGCCACCCGGGCTGCCCTCAGTGCCAGCCTCAGTGCCAGCCCCAGTGCCACCCCCAGTGCCACCCCGGCTGCCCTCAGTGCCAGCCCCAGTGCCACCCGGGCTGCCCTCAGTGCCAGCCTCAGTGCCAGCCCCAGTGCCACCCAGGCTGCCCTCAGTGCCAGCCTCAGTGCCAGCCCCAGTGCCACCCGGGCTGCCCTCAGTGCCAGCCCCAGTGCCACTCTCAGTGCCACCCGGGCTGCCCCCAGTGTCACACTCAGTGCCACCCGGGCTGCCCTCAGTGCCGGCCCCAGTGCCACCCCCAGTGACACCCAGGGCTGCCCTCAGTGCCACCCCTCAGTGCCACCCCCAGTGACACCCGGGACTGTCCCTCAGTGCCACCCGGGGCTCTGGGGACACCAGGGGGGGGGTCTCACCTTGAGCCAGTCGCCGTAGTGCACGTGGCCCCCGACGTGGGCAGCGTAGGTGGCCACTGCCAGCTGCAGGGCGGCCCCCAGGGCGAACCAGCGCCGCTTGACCCCGAAGGACATGAAGCTGGCACAGAGCACGGCCACGCCCATGTCCACGTACAGGTATGGCACCGGGATGTCCGGCTTCCTGCGGGGACGGCAGCTCCGGCACCCCCGCGCCCACCCCGGGACCCCCAGAGCCTGCCCCGGGTCATGGGGTAGCCACAGAGCCCCTCTGTGTCCCCACTGCTGCTCTGTCCCCTTCCCAGACCCCAGAGCCTCCTCCAGCCCCCGACACTGCTGGGGTCTCCCCTCAGCCCCAGGCAGCAGCTCCGTGGCCCCCTCAAACCTCACCTGTTCAGCCCCACCGAGGCTCCCTGTCACCTGTCCCAGCCCCACCGAGGGTCCCTGTCACCTGTCCCAGCCCCACCGAGGGTCCCTGTCACCCGGAGCAGCCCCACACTCACCCAGCAGCCCCCCAGGCCCCACAGGCTCTCCCACCCCCAGCCCCTCAGAGCCACCCCCGGCCCCTCAGGGCCATCCCCGGCCCCTCAGAGCCACCTCCGGCCCCTCAGGGCCACCC